GGTAGAGCAAGGAAGCCAATACGGAAGTGCCACACACTGCAGTTCATATATTGGCCGATAGGCGAAGGCTGCAGAAAGGAGCAATTTCCATAGACCCCCATGTTAAAATGCCCAACTTTACAGCAGAAAAAAACATGTTTCTACCCCTGGCTCCAAACATTTTATTATCGATATAGTTAGATTCCACCTTCATGATTATGGATCTGTGAGTGAATTGTTTTCTAACGCGACCCTTTTATTTATATTAGGTCTTAAAGTTTGTGCATAAATTAGGGCGTGGTCACATTGAGTGACGGCTCCGTCAAGTGCCTGCCGCTGTTAGCTTCTTGTCTCTCTGCTACCTGCTCCGTGAAGCTACAGGGACTCTGCCTGCTCAGCTCATCCAGGAAACACAACTTGTAGCCGGCCGTGGTTGTTTGTTCTTCATGCTTATATATCGGACTATTGTGACTCGCTCTGCGGTTAAAACAGACGGTGCATGAATGCGGTTTTGCGGTAAGTGAAATTCTAGTGCTTTATTTATGTGTTAATGATTTTAATCAGCTACGTAATGAATGGTAAGGCTTGTGTTAGCATGTAAGCTAGTGGTAGCTACATCGGTGCTAACGATTGTAATCGTAGCCTCCAAGTTAAAATCATAGACTGTATATATAAAGGTTACAACAAAATAGACAAGTATTAAGTGGGATAATACTGTTGAACAAACGGCTTCTGTTTGAGGTTGATAAAATAAGGTTACATCCTTGTAACTTAGAGATATTTTATTATGTAGGTAGAACTGTATGCATCTAAGGTTAATTTAAATTGGCTATGCTCAAGTATGTAGACAAGCTAATGTCGAAGTAGTGTATGTGAATCAACCTCACAATAAGATGTGTGTATATTACAATTATTAATGTCATATTTCAAGATGATTACTTAGATATTACAATATGGTTGGTTGAGCTGGAGTTCATTATTGAGCTTACACGTTAACGTCACAGTCATCTGAAGAACGAACCCAAACCTTGTTGTTTTTATTAATTGCATTACCAAATGGGTATCAAATAAACAGTAAGCATTGGTAACACAACTTCCAAAGTTACAGTAAAATAAAAAGGACCCTGACTCGGACAATACACAATCCAACATGTTCAACAGAAGAAAATCAGTTATATTGTTTGTACACATGGTACTTTACATATATATATATATCTGTTTGTTTAAGGTGTCCAGGTGATGCAGACAGGCTGGACCAGAGAGTGAGAGACAGAACTGGACTCCTCACAGCAGTGAACTTCAGCACAGGTACAAAGACTCTTTTTTCATACTGTACAAAGAATCAAGAAAGATATTGGTTTTAAATGAATGAAGTATTGACTTTAATACACTGATATACATTCCATTAAACAATACTAAATACTAGATCACCTACACATCAGTTAAGTTGAGGGTTTTTTCCATGCAAAAAGTTACATTTAGATGATAACAAGCAATATGACTTTGTCAGCTTTCTAATTTAATGTATTGAAGGCAAAGATATTTAACGCATAGTGAGAACTGCTACTATTTTTTACATTACATGTTACTTGTTAGACGCTTTTATCCAAAGCGACTTACATACTCAATACTGTGCAATCCCCACAGGAGCAATTTGGGGTGAAGTGTCTCAGGGACACAACGACATGCTGACTGCAGTGGGGTTTGAACCTGTGCTCCCCTGATCCGAACACCAACGCTCAACCCACTGCACCACACGCCTATTTATCTCTCAATATTGTCTGTAAAAACGTGAAAAAACGTGGTAAAAGTGATTCTTTCAGTGAGACAACAGAGCAAGCTTCTACAGTTGCACTACGTTTTTGATAACAGTTAAATATTATTTTTTTTGATAATAACATATATTTCAATGTTGATGAACTTCATACTGTTCATTCATAATCTGATTGTCTTTGTAGCTCATTGTGAAATAAAAAAAAACATTACAATTACAAAATAATTATATCTACAGCCCCTAAACACACAAACACACCGCTTTCATAAATAACACACTTGTTCTGCAATAATATGTTTTATGTTTCCTGTCATTTTTGTTAGGAAAGGACATGCCTGAAAGACAGGACATTTTCTCCTTCTCTGAGGGTCAAGAAGAACATCCAAGAAGAACATTAAAAGCTGATGTTATGAGATTTGAAGACCAGTACAGGACATTCACTAAGAAACAATTTTATTGTAAAAACAGTCAGCTGATCGAATGCAGCTATTTCCACATCTACACTCCATCAGCTGATTATTTCTATTTGCCTCACTTTATGAGCTTCACAACATGTACCTTGTTTTGCAACGTCACAAATAAATGGGGCCAATCTTCAGTCAGATGTGAATGTGTAATCTAACATTTTCAGTAAGAATAATGGACAAAAGGAGTGCAAATACAAATACAATTTATTGAAATGTGAACCAAAAGTTAATCAAATGTTTTAAATATAAAGCACATATGGACAGAAGGTGTAAACCTATTAAATGTATTAAACACATTTAGTCAAATAAAGTGACCGACTAGGCCTGTGCAGTTGGTATCAGCTTTGCCCAGCATGGGCTCCTTCATCAGCCCTGGTCCTCCTCGCAGAGGAAAGACCCTCAGTCATCCTGGCAGAGGGAAGACCCTCAGTCCTCTCCAAACCAACAGACAGGACGTCCATCACACGGAGGTTTCTCCCTGAAGTCTCTGCTGCTCTCTGGACACCATGCTGTCTCAATCCGTCCACACTGAATATGAGAGGGGGAAAATGAAAATAATAAATGCTTTAGACAATAAGAAACATAAAGTTGACTGTTGAGTTGCTCAGTTTTTTTAGATTGTCAATACTATTACTGTATAACTAATATCTCAGGTTAAGAGGCACATTCAAATAAAGATTGGTCTTTAAATACATTTTGTCTTTTGAATTGTTTGTCTAAAGTCAAGGATCTATAACTGGTACTTAGTTTTAATGATACAGTCTGGTTATTATGCTGTTTGGAGGAGGCCTCACAGGTAAGAGCGCTAACTAGCTACCATCACATGTACCTTAGCTTGACTTAAATGTATTAACGTATAGTTAAGTGATATCAAAATATAAATAACTAATGTCATGCAAACATATTAATATTTGCTTGATTCCAGTGTTGAATTTAGCACAATTGCATACAAACGTTAAGGGGTTTTAAGATTCTGAAGTATTATGCTAAAAACTCAATAACTTAGATTATTATTTATAGTTTTGCTGAATAGTTTCATGTCCGCTTACCTTAGAAACGTAAAATGCGACGGCAGTGTGCAGATGGAGAGCATGTTAGCTTAGCTTGGTAGCTTCAGCTAGCTCGGTGGCAGCAGGTCCCGCCTCGGCTCCGCCTCTTTGCCCTTATTTGGAGCAGGCTGGAGAAGGCGGGAGTTGAACTCCGGCGTCACTGTCGAGCCGTTAGTGGCCGACTCCGCCTACTAAGGGCTTCACGGCAACTCTGCAGTAATCCTATGGGTGACGTCACGGACCCTAAGTCCATTTATATATACAGTCTATGATTTAGGCCCATTCCCAAACCGCCCCCCTACACCCTTTTCCCTACACCCCTACCCCTCCGTTTGCGCGTTCACGCGGAGGGTCCGCCCATATTGAGGGCTGTTCCAAACCAAACGAGTGTGGAGGGGGAGTGGGCTATCAAGCCCTCAAACAACGGTGCTGACTTGAGACCGGTCTCTACCTGACCGGTCTCAACGCTGTGTGTGTCCGTCAGGAAAACAAGCTGTTTACAAGTAGTTCCAGCAAACATCCACTGATATAACTGCGATGTTAACAACCTCATGATAACCTCATATGTTTTAATTTAGGATCGTTACCTGTGTTTATTCTAGAAAAAGGTAAATGTGTGCATTTTATTATAAAGTTGTGTATATTTACAGACTGTTGCAAAAACTAAGAAGCTTATAAACATCAGGTTTAAACTAAAAGAGCTTTACAAAAAAGTAACACAATGAAAGATGTTTGGAGTTTTATTTGAGTTATTAATTTACATTTTTGGTCTAAGATGCTGATTTGAAACCGTCGTTACATACAGTTACGTTATTTCCTGTTTCTGCCGGAGAGAGGGGAGGCCGTCCCAAAGCTTGCTGCTGTATTTACTCCCTCCATCTGACAGGAGGGACCCTCGTTGAGCTGCGAGTGTGGCTACAGACGGAGTTCACTCCGTCACGGAGGGGTAGGGTCGAGGGGAGTGGGTTTGGGATTGGGCCTTAACATGCATTTAAAACAGTCCTTCGGCGCCACTCGATGACGTAGTATACTAGTTGCTCTGCAGCCGTTTTACTTGCGATTGAGAAACGGCCAGTGATTTACAGCATGACGTAGGACGCTGTCAAAGTGCACAAGGCATCTCGCCAAACTCCAATCTAAAATGGGGTAATGACATTGACAACAGGACCACTTAATGTAGAACTATATTTACTTTTTTGAAATGTAGGGATTCATTTTGAACTTTGGTTGAAATCAAATGAAGACTTGGCTAACAATGTAACACTTGAAAATGTCAAAAGTTGTCGTTGGTAAGTTGGTCATGTGCCATTTAAAGTCACAAATAAACCAAAACAAAAATATATATGTAAACATTGAGTTGTAGGACCCTATGACCATAGTTTCAGGTCCTATGTGGTGCCAATGGAGGTCACAGTGGTTGTAAACCAGACATCACAATGTAAGCTGGCGCACATCAGCAGGTAGCCACAAGGTGGTGCTATTCGCATTTGTTTACAACACTCCACAGACATGCACGCGTATTGACAGCCTGATATGACTGGGCATAATGACTCAAACGGCAATTTTCGGGGAATTAAACACTTGAAGTTATTGATATAAAAAAAAAAACCTTTCTTTCTGACATGTCGGTTGGGTTGTTTTTCTATGCGTCCTAATATAGGATTCTGATCAACTGACCTGTGGAGTGTGGTCATGTGACAGATAGGAGGGCGTCGCTGAAAACATTCACCCGTTCACCACATACACACACCAACAGGAACCCATTCACAATAAACGGATAAGGCGACACTTTTTCAACTCAGTGAACAACGTTTATTTCCCCAACATCGCAATGAAATGAGGGAGCATGGGGGCCAAAGAGTCAAGGATAGGATTCCTGTCGTATGACGAGGGCCGTCAAGAGAGGTAAGCCGAAAAGCAACCAACGGGCTAATCTACCTCAGTGGCGCTAGCTAAGCTAACTGTCAGCTCTGAGGCTAGTTCTGTACACAAGAGGACCAGACCTCATTATTAAAGTCTAGCGTTTTAAGTGGCCCTGGTTATTGGATAAGGTAGACACCTGTCAAGAAATAACCAAAGGGTCTCTACGGAACCGCTTGGATCCCTAAGTCATTTCGGCATATCAATATATCACTGAATCTAATGTATGTTAGGTTTAACAATAGCTAAGCCAATATGCTCTACAGTCGTATTCCTCCAAAATACACAACGTCGGGAGGCAGGTTGGTCAGCGTTTCCTTGTAATCAAAGCATACATAATTCTGATCTAAACGTCGTTGTACGGATTTTGTCCCTCCCGAACTGGGTTATTCTTCTTAGAAATATGGAATTATGTCTGACTGGTATTTAAAGACACGCGTATATTGTTTATAAGCAAGGCCACGTTAAAAGTACAGATGTTTAGACGAGGCTTGGCGTGACTCTCTCCATAGCTACCAAAGCGTTGGTTATGGGGCTAATGTTGGCTAACGAGGAGGGATGGGCTGGCTTGACAGTATTTGGCAAAACAGTTGTGAAGACAGCTTTGAATGTCTGCTAACGTTTTGCTTGACACTACAGTTTGTGTCATATAGCCTAGCTTTTACCACCATATATCTAACGTTGAGTATGTATTTACTGCTACTAGCTTAATAGCTAGGACAGTTGGGTTGCTAACGTTTACCGCTAGACCCAGAGGGAAATGCCTCTAGACTGTTTGATTTAGCCTTCATTCTTGCGGATTTTTTTAAGCCTAGCCATGTGGTATGGTGAACGTTAATCGTCAGTGTTTTTGTGCTAGAGGACTGTCAGGTTGCTAAAGTAACTGTATGCTAGGCTAGCTATGCAATTTAGGGCGTTTGGCGGAACAAACAACGGTTTACGTTGCCTGCTGCTGCATTTACTCCTTTAGCAATTAGCCTGTTGGTGTTTATTCGTGAACTGCGAGCCATTCATTGATTTATGATAAACACAGGGTAGGGGGTTTCTAGACTTGTAGGCCAGATACAGCAACATGGAATCATAGTTGGCTTTCTAAAATAATTTTGCTGTCAGATCTAGTATGGAAGATTATATCTAGATTTAACAAGCAAAGTACAAAGCTGGGTACAGCTGTTTTATAACTGATACACATTCTGAGTGTTAGTGTACGTGGTGTAGCTGAGAATGTATCAGGAAGCACATTAATCTCTTTCCTGATGGCCTTTTTCTTGCACTTTGCTCCCTGGCTTAGCTTAACTTTGCATGTGTTAATTCCAGGCTATGAGAGGTTGTTACACATCTATCCAGGACATGACCATGTCCTAACCAGGGATCTACACGGAAGTTAAAACAGATCTGTCTTTTGCATGAATATTGTAAATGATTAAGTTCTGTTACTTATTTTTCTACCAGGATTTTTCACAATTCCATCACTATTTGTGGGGTTTCTTTTGGGGTGTTTTTTCTTGTCTGCTGCAAGGACCTAAGACAGAAGATGACATTTTAGGTTATAGAGATTATAAAGCCCCCTGAGACAAATGTGGGGGCTATACACAATAAAATGTCATACTATTTTACACTGTTTAATCAACCGTGACACAATGTTCCCTATTCTATCGTCTAAATGATTCTTTTTTCAGCTCCTGTGAGGTGGTTTGCATTCCTCAAGCTGATTGCCATTCCCCACTCTGATCACATGTGACCACACACACGCACGCACACACACGCGGTGGAATTATCCAGCCTTATCTGACCAGTCACATGGCAGCATTCCTAATTCCCACAGCAGGCTCGACTGCCGCAATTATGAGGTCAGTTTTCATGGATGTTCACTGTAGTAGTGCACCAGCGGGATAATGTTCCGCTTGGAAATGTTAGGCTTTGAAGTGTTCCTGTAGTAAATCCAGGGTCATTCAGACTTTTCTCTAGAGTAATTCTGCAGGGTTGATAATGCACTCTGTCCACTTTGTTTACAGTTTTAAACCACAACACTTAGATAGAGTTGAACTAGTATTTTTTCAAATTTGAGATATGCATTGACTCGAGACTTAAAGTAGGTTACTCAACTGTCTGATGCATACATATTGCATCTGTTATCTTCTGCTATATGAGCATATTCTTAAATTGGAACTTGCACTTGGAACATGGCTGCATACGATTTTAAGAGTGTTAAATGGAAAAGAGATAAGAAAATTGTCCAAATCGGCTTCCTTTTAAAAAAAAAAAAAAATGTATATGACCAGAATGACAAAAAAAAAAAGTTTAATCTCGTGGAAAGGAAACTGTCCAGGTTGATGATTTGAATGAAAAATTAGTAGGGTGTGGTTACAATTATTTTGAAAAAAAATCAAAAGCCCAAGAGTACTATGTACATTACTTAAAAGTAATTCCATATCCAAATATTGAATCAGCTGGTCGCCTTCAAGGGTAAGTGGAGTATAGATGGTAGAGATTAAGCTGTGTAAAGGTCCTTACCACACCACACACGTCGATGGATGTCGGGCCATCGATGAGTGTCGTGTCGCCCTACTCAGATTGGTGTGTACTGTACCGTTGTGTCTTTTCGGCCGTGCCGACACCTTCCGCCGCCAATTCGGACATGTTGAATCGGTAGGCTGTCGGGCCAAATAAATCACTCTGATTGGCTGTTCAGCTTAGCGAATCAGTGCATGAGAAGCTAAACGGGAAAAAAAAACAAACACCAAACATAAATTACCAGATAGCGTTTTATTTTGTTTGGGTGCTGTTTATGGAGAGAAAGAAAGCTTCGGTTAGATGTTTTGTTTTTATTTACTTGTTTTCACCTTCTGCCGCCGATTCGACATGTTGATTCGACATGTTTTGTTTTTATTTATTTGTTTTGGTGTTTTCATGAGGCTAAACTGATTTACATCTGTCCTATAAAATGACACATCAGACGCTATGTGAATATTGTAATATTTCCTGTCACAATACTATGTATTGTTCTTCTTTAAAAGTTAACACTAACTGGGCTGGGAAATGTAGCTTTCTTAAGTCTTCTCCTTTTGAAAAGTTGTGGTTTACAACCATGTCAGGTTGTTTGTGATGCTGATCCCAGGAACTGATTTTCCAGGAACAAAACTGTTGACTTGCTTTACCACAGCTCCATTGGTGTAGACAACAGTATGTGTATTTACCTCCCCTTTTTCTAAAATACAAGATCTGTTTCTTGGTTTTAGTGACATTGAGAAGGAAGTTGTTTTCTGAGCTCCACTCACCAAATGTGCTTGCCAGTGGTGTTGAATCACCTTGAAGATATTTGTTAAGCAATGTATTAGAGAGCTATTGTTAAGAGTGGGCAGGAATGAGTCCTAAAACCCAGAAAATTAGTATCATTTAGCACTTCCAGTTCGCTCGTCTCAAATTCATCGTTTTTTAAAAATTGTTTTCATGAAGATGCCTGCGGTTATCTCAAGCTTACAAGTTATTCACGTTTTAGTTTTACAACATAAAGTATGTCAGTAAACACCCCAGTGTTTATTGTCTGAAGCTTGTATGTGTCCTAAATCAATTACTAAATGACACTTCTAGACTGAGACTACATCATCACCCCAAATACAAGTTAACCTTTAGCTCAATGATGGTGACAGGAACTCATGTGATGTCATGTAGTTAATTTAAAGCATAACATTAGCTCTGTGGATTTGCATTTACACTACTATTATCATAGACATTTGTTTGCCAACGTTTTTTTTAGCAATCATCTAAAAGCCCATTGAAAAATCCCTTTGGCTTTTTGTCGAGCTAGCCATAAAAAATCCCTCATGATGCTACATAACTGAAACATAGCATTACTATATTGACCTTTTTGTTATGAGACAGTCACCAGCTGAAAAATGTATCTGCTTGTATAGACAAGCCTGAGAAGGATTGTGTCAGGAAATATAAACCTGCTAATATGACAAATGTTACTATTTATCAGGTTTGTAGGTTTTCTCGCAGAGTGTTGAATACCTTCACTGTCCATTTGAACCTTTGTGGTGACCAACATAGTTTGGTAATGCAACAACCAGGGTCAGCGCTCTAACCACTCTGACACACAGCCTTACGGTCACCTGAGAACTACAATACCTCTGGTCCACGTCAGCAGGCCTTATCTGCCAAGGTGATAGACTGCTGCTTTACATTCTCACTTTGCTCCCTGGTTTGTCGATGTCGTTTTTTCTCATGCTGCCACAAAGTCTTCCAGTAGGCCTATGGTGTTTTCATGAGGCTAAACTGATTTACATCTGTCCTATAAAATGACACATCAGACGCTATGTGACATGTGTGTTAGTATGCACTTGTTATTACCAATTAAAGGCCCCTGTGTGTGAGAGACAACTCCCTCTGGAGGGAACTTTTGAGAATTCATCCTTTTTACCATTTACATGCACACAAATCTATAGAACACACTACATGAAAGGGAAACCCCCAAAACAATAGGGCCTCTTTAAGATGACCTGTGTGTTCCTGATATAAATTGGATCATATTGCCAAGCCACTTCATTTTACCCTGACATTACTTTTGCTTGACGTTAAAGCCTATGCTAGTTTATTGCTAAATAAATGTATATCAATATAAGACTTGTAGAATGAGTTCATAATTGGATCTAAAAATAGCAATAATATATTGTAGTTTTATGTGGATTTTCTCTTGTGGTCGAAGCAGCCGTCTCACGCTGAATGTTTGGTGTTACGCCTGCAGGATTAATGGGCTTTTTAAGAACATCACTCCCTGTATGTTTCTTCCTGCTTGTGTTTCTATTGACAGTTTATCATGACTGAAAGGTCACTTGCGCTCATGTGTGTTCAGTATTTGCATGCTGTCCATGACACCTTTCTGCTCCCTGTCTGGCTGTTTTCAGTCTTGCTGGTAGTACCAGGCAAGCCATACACTGCTTATTTCACAGGATGGCAAACATTAAGTCACAGCAAGAGGTTTT